TATCGATCATCGTCTATGTAATTGGCAGCTTTTATTTGCAGTTTCCTCATGTAACGAGGAATAAATAAAGCTCCAAATTACGACTTTATTGTTATTCGTTGCGAGCATCGAGATAAATTTAACAGGCGCTATTTTTTAATTAATTCTGACAGTTATTAGTACAAAAAATAAGAGTTATCAATACCCAATTCAGGTAAGATCGTACACAACGACAACTCGTTCGTAACACTATACAGGGTGGTCCAACGAAAAGGTCGCGCCCCTATTTGTGGCTCTATTGTATTTTCTAATATGTCCAAGTACGTGTCGCCCGTCAAGTTTTCAGGAAGAAAGAAAGGTCCTCAAATATCATTTCCGAAAATGCCGGCCCACACATTTATTTTTTCAGGATATTGCGAGTGTACCTCACGAAACAAATGTGGACAATTATGTCTATTTGCAGCACCATGTAAGAATAGAACGTACACTCATCCGAGAAACAAATGTTAAAAACGGATTTTCAATGTTGATTAAACGTTGGGACATCTATCAAAATCGTCTTCTTTAAGCTCAAGTTTTATTTTATACGGGTGCAATTTATTGTCTTTCAGTGTTTTACTAGAGTGATGTATAGAAGTTCGATTTTCGTCGCACCTGATATTGTCTAGTCAATTTTTCACCAAATGGACCACCAAGAATCTTATACATGTTCTCAGTTATAATCTGTGACAAATGACTTAAGCCTTTTAATTCCTCAAGTGGATGGAACTAGTAAAATTTTTACAAAATTACATGTTTATGGTCGATTAAGTAACTTTAAGCAGATGTTGAGACGGTTTTATGACTAAGGTCAATTCAGTCTCACGTTAAATTAAGAAGCAACTTTTTTGAAAAATCTAACGAACATTAGTTATATTAGTCATGCCACAACGTAAATGCGGGATCGGTCTCGGCTCCGACATTGTTCTTCTTACATATCAACGATCTCCTTTCCTGCACGGTCAAGCCAATCCACAGCTTCGCTGACGACAGCACTCTACATGCAGGAAAAAAGAAGACTAGCAGCGACTTCCTCTCCGACCTGGCGGTTATCACTGCCTGGAGATGCAACACTCTTGTACAAAAATGAGCGATTCAAGTTGCACATGTTCTGGTCCCCAAAAATATTGAATGGATATTCTCCGATAATTACAGCAATACCGCAGATGTTCAATGAATAGAGCGTATCGTCGCTTGGGTTCTAACACCGCGTAACTCCAAACTAACAACTTTTTAGGAGAGCAAAAAAAACGGTGGGTCTTTAGCTTCGCTATCGAGTGACTATATATATATACATATATCTTATAACTACCTCTATCTGGCTCCAAATGAAACCTCATATGCTTCAAATTCCGTGAACTGAAACCTCTATAGTATCGGTATACCGAGTTTTATGCCAAAATCTGATATACTTCTCAATTAATAGGGAAAAATGGTCACTTTGACACCACCATGTATTTTTTTTTTATATCGAAACAGCCGCGCAGGCAGAAGCCTAAATGCCGGAACACCGCGGCTGCTATGATGATCCCAAAGAAATTTTGTTAATACGACCTTTGAACTGCCTAAGGTTAGTAGAACTGGGAAAAGCTTCCTCCTGTAGATTGTTCCACAATCTAGACACCCTCGGGACAAAGGAGCGGTCGTATCGGCCAGTTCTGGATGTACGAAGTTTGACACGGTTAGGATGGGACGCCGAAGTCAGGCGAGTCTGTCTGGCAGGCACATCGCGCGGCGGCATCATGGAAGAGAGCTCTGAGGAGCAAAGCCCGTTGGTGTAGCGATAGAAAAGAGCTAGATCGCCGACGGCCCGCCGGTGCGAAATAGTCCCGAGACTGTCTGTTAGAGAAGAGTCATCGATCAGTCAGACCGCCCTCCTCTGGACAGCATCGAGCATGGACAATGTAGTCGGGGCGGCAGCACCCCAAATGTGTGAGCAATACTCGAGGCTAGGCCTTATCTGGGCCTTGTATAGAGTGAGAAGGTCATGCGGAGAAAAGTACTTCTTAGCCCTAAACAAATAGCCTAGCTTTTTCCCAGCAGCTGCAGCTATTGAAGAGATGTGTTCGTGCCAGATCAGGTCCTCGGTGATCTGGACTCCGACCAGCAGAAATGAATGCCTCTTTGATAGAACTCGACCGTCCATCGAAACTGTATGAGCGCTAGGACGCTTTTTGTTCGTCAAAGTACAGTACTGTGTTTTGGAAGCATTGAACTGTACAAGATTGTTGCGTCCCCAAGCAGTGATAGCCTCCAGGTCTCTTGTCAGAGAAGAAGTCGTCGCTAGTCTTCTTTTTTCCAGCTCAGCGGCCGATATCGGCTTGTCACTCTGAATTCCTGCATGTAGAGTGCTGTCATCAGCGAAGCTGTGGATTGGGTTGATCGTGCAGGAAAGGAGGTCGTTGATATGTAAGAGAAACAGTGTTGGAGCCAAGACCGATCCCTGGGGAACACCCGCGTTGACGTTGTGGGATGAAGAGGAGAATCCGTCAATTACGACGGATATCTTGCGGCCAGAGATAAAGTCAGCCACCCATCTGCAAAGCTTTTCTGGGAGGCCGTAGGATGGAAGTTTGCTTAATAGGGCAGCGTGCCACAGCTGATCGAACGCTTTCGTGATGTCAAGAGCAACGACATGAGCCTCACCATGAGACTGGATCAGTTTACTCCACAGTTGCGTGACGTAAGCTAGGAGGTCCCCCGTGGATCGGTGGTGCCGGAAACCGTACTGCCTGTCGCTAATCAAGCTGTGACGTTCGAGGTAGTCCAGAAGCTCGCGATTTATGCACCTCTCCATCACTTTACATATAACAGAAAGCAGAGCTATAGGCCTGTAGTTGTAAGGGTCGGTTTTAGATCCTTTTTTTGGGATGGGCTGTACATGAGCAAATTTCCAGTTTTCCGGGAAGGTGCCGGACTCATAAGATATCTGGAAGAGACGCGAAAGAACTGGAGCAAGCTCCGCTGCACATCTCTTCAGTACAATGGCAGGAATCAAGTCCGGACCAGAAGCTTTGTTGATGTCGAGCGACAAGAGCACTCGTTTTACGGTCTTATGCCTGAATGTTACCTCCCGCATAGTGTGGGGAACCCTTTGAATTGACGGCACTTGGGCGTTGGTGGGGACGTCCATGGTGGAGTTGGCAGCAAAGATCTTGGCTAGCACTTCCGCCTTGGCCTTTGAGTCGAATACAATAGTTCCATCCTGACACGTAAGTGGTGGAAGGCTACTGTGTGAGAAGTTCTTTTCAATCTGCTTGGCCAGCGTCCAGAAAGATCGACTGCCATTGCGCTGCGAAATTACCCTGTGCCTAACTTTTATATCATGCTGGTTTTTGGCATTGCGAACCGCTTCGTTATATTTGTTTCTGGACTCGACGTCGGATTGTCTGTTCTCTACAGTGGGGTTTTGTAAGTAGGTTATGTGGGCCTTGATCTTCTGCTGGCGAGCAGTGTCACACGATTTGTTGAACCAGCCGTTGGACCCTGGTTTAGGAACTTTCACTGTGTGAGGGATGTATTCCTCCATTCCGACGTAGATAATTTCGGTTATTGAAGAACAGACAGTCGACGCATCCGCGTCAGTGAAACAGACATCTCTCCAAGGAAAGCTAGAGAAGAAGTCTCTGAGCCCCTCCCAGTCGGCATGTCCGTAATGCCAAGTTTTGTGCGAGTTTCTGCTGCCACAGCGGCTTCTGACCGAAACCTAACCTCCACAACACCGTGATCTGAGTTACCCAGGGGGGACAGGACAGCAGTGCTGTAAGGGGCAGGATGCGTGGTCAGAAAGAGCTCCAGCAGGCTACTGGCGTGTGACGAGACGCGGGGGAAAAAAGTAGGGCTCGTCACCAGCTGGGTCAGCCCTTGAGTAAGAGCGAACGCTTCGACTGCACGACCTGCTGCATCGGTCTTATTTGAGCCCAACCAAAGCTCATTATGGGCATTGAAATCACCGAGAAGAACTACCTCTGAAGCGGGGTGATTGATGTTCAGGAAGTCGATCTGGACGGCGAGGTATTCGAGTAGGTCATCCCAGTTATGGTTCGAGGGAGAGCGATAAAGGCAGCAAATAAATTTGGGTGATGTTTTGGAGTTGAGGCGAAGCCACAGAATGTCCTTCCGGTCTGATTCCAAAGAAAGATCCCTGGAGCAGGAAAGACTGCTGCGGACAAAAGCCACAACTCCCCCGTTCTTTCTCAGATTGGAGTGCACCTCGTAGTTTGGGAAGTTGAGATGGTTAATCGGTGCAGTCTCTGAGATTTTTGTCTCCGCCAAGAAAAGCACGGCGGGACGATTGGATTGCAGGTAGTGATGAACAGCATCAATGTTGCTGTTGATCCCGCAGATGTTCGAAAAACAAATTTTATCTTCGATGTTGTTCCCTCGAGCCCACCCTCCACCCGGACATTCCGAGAGTGGAGTGAGTTTACGTCCGGAGTTTTTAGTGCTCGAGGGATCCATCATCATTAATTTCTTTGTTTTGGTAGATAGCCGACTGCATAGCTTAGGTGTGGAAACATGCGGACATTTATAAGACACCCTAGGAAAAGCTAGCGGGTGGTACTGCCTCGGTCGACTGGTCCTTGTCTACCACCTTCTTTTTACGTGTTAGTGATGTTAAATAGACCTAAAGTGGCCCGTTGGCGGACTTGTACCGCCACCCGGCAATCGGTACTGTGGTATTCCTTAACGCGTGCACAATCACTTGGACGGGAAGAAGTTGTATACTGGATACAACAACTTCCGGAACAAGCATTTGCCACGGCCCTCGCTCAGTAGGGGGAAGAATGTATGTTGCAGAATATCAACTTTTGGACTAAGGTATGTTTAGGTCAAGTCACATATTTTGGTGTGTGTAGTATCTCCAGTTTCGAGATTTTGGAGGCGGAGACTCGATCTGTTTACTTATTTCATATCGCGTTGATGACGTAACCGCCAAGAACGGCGTCTACAACTATACTGTATTGTTATTTTTGTTATAGTACCTACACCCGGTATACGCTGCACCAAAAAGCATGACTGCCATGCTTCTCTAGGTGTAAGAAGTATATGCACGAAGAGGATGGAGTGTGCTTGCAAACCTTTCCACCATATCCATATGGGCCAATGCGTCAAAAATCGAGGTAAGTGTTATTTATTGCAAAATCGCAATATAGCGTCCATATGAAAAAACAAATTTCGTGACGGAAGTCGACAGATGAAACCTTGGCTATTCCGTCTTGTAGAGGAGAAAAAGTGACAACGACAATATGTAATTCATTTTGAAATCCCATCTCGAGTAAAGTCAGGAAAAATAAAACATGATTATAGACATTGTTGTGATGCCACCTCCACATCGAAGCTTTCTGAATATCTTTAGCGAAACTAATTTTTTGAATTCAAAAGAGTTTTTATGTCATTCTGTAAGAACTGCTAAACAAAACAACGACGTTATACAATAAATATGAAATTTGATATACGTTCTGTTCTCCAGCCCCCAACATAACTGGTATGCTTCTCAAATAAGAAAAAACCATGCTATTATACCAAATATACCCACTTGAGTTTTTTTTTTATATACAAACCACTTATTTCATTACCCGTTTAAAAAGACGCGGCACTCGAGACCAGGGAGATTGAAACCTTTTTGTTCTCATACTTACGGACAAATGACACGTGTTTTGATATGCTTTGACCCTAATATCGTAAAGCGTGTTAGCAGGGCATATTAAAGTTTTTTTTTGTTTATGATTTTAGATTTAGATGATGCCTGTGATCACGACCACCAGTGCTACTGTGGTGCAGGCTGTGAGAATAGAATTGCTTGCATTGAAAAGCAATGTTCGTGCAGAGAGGGGTACAAGCCATATGGTAGCAGACGATGCGTCGGTATGTATACAAAATGGTGCTGTTGCGTCTTGTAGAACTTCCGATTTCACTGTTCCTCTCTTAAAACTTTTAGAGGGTATTGTATTTTTTGCTGTTCTTTCCATCATTATTTCCACCGCCATCTATCTGCTATAGACGTAGACGTCTGTGCGTATGTCATATATGAGAGGCGCTTGCCTGCGGTGTTGCCGGATTAGGCTCCACATTTAGGGAAAAATCTGAAAAGTTGAAACTTTGTATACACAATGTATATTAATTAATGAATCACACAAAACTGAAACAAACAACAGTAGCAAAATAAAAGACGATTGCTAATAAGTATAAATCAAAAAATAACAGTAGTAAGCTAGAAAATGATAAATTATAAATAATTATAAAACACAAAAAATAAAAACAGCAGTAAAACAAAAACTAATTCCATGTAATTATAAAAATCAAAAAATAACAAACAGTAGTAAAATAAAAAGTAGTAAAACAAAATAAAAACAATTCCATGTTGAATAAAAAGCAATTCTAAGTGACAACACAAAACAAAAAGTAAAAACAGTAGTAAAACGAAGAACAATTTCATTCCGTCCAAATTGCTTTTTATTTTACTGTTTGTTATTTTTTGTTTTTTTATAATTAAATGGAATTGTTCTTTGTTTTACTACTGTTTTAATTTTTTGTTTTTTATAATCACTTAGAATTGCTTTTTATTTTACTGTTGTTTGTTATTTTTTGTTTTATACTTAGTAAGAATCACTTTTAATTTTACTACTGTTGTCTGTTTCAGTTTTTGTTTTTGTGTTTCATTAATATAAATGTATATAAATTTTACACTTTTAATATTTTTCCCTAAATACAAAGCCCAATCCGGCAACACCGCAGGCAAGCGCCTCTCATATATGACATATCCACAGACGTCAGCATCATATGGTAGATGGCGTTAGAAATAATGGGGGAAATAACTGCTAAAAAATACAGTGTTTTGGAAAAAAAATTTCATGAAAAGCGTACTTCTTCCACACTTTTTATGATGTAAAATAATTTATCAGACTACCCTCTATAAGTTTCAAGTGAAAAAACAGTGAAATCCGAAGTTCTACAAGGCGCAACAATGCCTACAAAATGTTGGAATAAATAGTTTCGGGGTTGTTATACATGTATAAAAAAAACATAGCCTGACACCGTAATTTGATGAACAAATCGTTAACCAATTTTGAACAGGAAATGCTTTAAAACGTATACAAATTATATAATTCCATGCACCTTGGTTTAAAGGAAACTAGCTCATAAAAAAATCAAGAAAAAAGTTGAAAGAAATTCTACTTGATCAGTATTGAAATCTTTTGTAACCAATAAGTGTTAACTCACTCAATTATGATACAAGGACTTGTAATAATTTATATGTAAACTTTAGCAAATCAAAAGCGGCATTTCGATCACCTAATAAAATTGGTCCGCTTCTTTTTAATAATTTACCATGCCACATTACCTCGGTTAAAAATATTAACGCCTTTAAGTTCCTGTTGAAGGAATTTTTGATAAACAAGTGCTTTTATCGTGTTGATGAATTTTTGAACATAGCAATTTGAGATTAGTTGTAGGTTCGTAGCGAACGAAAAATTGACAATTCCAATACAATTATATATTGTCTGTATGGAAATAAAGGTTATTGATTGATTGATTGATATTGATTGATTGACCTTATGTTTTCTTTATGCCTTTTACATTTAATAATAATTATATAAAAAGACGTTAATTATTATTACTTTATTATCATTATTATTCTTTTACCTCAATTTACTGATTTATCACTATTATCTGTCGTTGTAAAAAGTTTCAATTCAATATGTGTCCCGCAAATTGTAGATAATATGTGGATTTGACATACCTTATAATAACTCAGGCAATAAATATATCAGGTACACAGATTGAACCAACACTTTTTACCATATTTTTATTCAGCAGCGATCGTACAGAATATCCTGTTTAGCACTCATGAATTATTCGCGTAGCGACCGAAATGTGTGGCTGCGAACCTGCACTTTCTTTTTTTATTTATTTTTGAAGAAAAATATCCAAGTGATTGAATCAATGACAAGAGATCCGCTTCTTTGTTTGGACCCGACAATGGGTGGATTCATTATTCTTTCTTTTTCAATAAAATTTGCAACGCTTGAATATATATATATATATATATATATATATAGGCGAAAAATTAAAGCTTCCGCCTTTTATTGGGTACTTCGACAAAATTTAAGCAAAGAGGACTCTTTATACTTTTTTTAATTCTCTCTAGCTTTCAATGGACTTTGCCATCATCATCAGAAGCTGCAATTACAATGATAACAGTAGCAACAAAAGTGTAAAATGAATTTAAATTGAATCAACTTACAGTAGTATGTGAGGATGTTGCTAATTGTTGTTTTCGTATAGGATGAGGGAAACGTCCAGTAACATGGTGAGAGCTGGATACATGGTACAATGGTTAAAATTATATAAAATATGACAAGACAAGTTAAAGACAGATTAAAAATTATTTAGAAAACATTAGAGCATTACGTCGTGAAGCCACTTGATGATTGCACAAAATGGGCTTCATCCTGAAAGATGCGCTCTAGCATCTCATGTTAACACAACAGGGCATTCTATGAATTACACAAGTATCAAAGTTCTTGATAAAGAAAAACACCTTTCCAAACGTTTATTCCAGGAAATGTCCCACATTTTCATGAATAACAACTGTATCAACAAAAAGACAGATATTAAACAACTGAGTGTCATTTACTCATATTTGCTAAACTGCGAAAAATTGGAGAACTTAATATCTCCCCAAATTTCGACTTTTCACAACCATAAATATAATCTGTGTTTTGGCCGATTCCACCAACAAATTTCATTCCACTCAAAATCTAATAATTCTCTTCTCACGATTTATTAATAATTGTTAATTTAAAATTCCCATTAATTAAAATATAGTTTATTCAACTGCCTCTGGTCGGTTTAACAATTTCTTACATAACATTCTGAAAATCACATCATCTGAAGTGATTTGGCAACGTTTTGGCACACGCCCACAATTCGTTCCATCTTTCAACACAGACATTGACAACCTTCGGCCTTCTGTCAAAGGTTCATCTCACTCATTATTCCATGACCACCATTTTGTGCAATCATCAAGTGGCTTCACGACGTAATGCTCTAATGTTTTCTAAATAATTTTTAATCTGTCTTTAACTTGTCTTGTCATATTTTATATAAATTTAACCATTGCACCATCTATCCAGCTCTCACCATGTTACTGGACGTTTCCCTCATCCTATACGAAAACAACAATTAACAACATCCTCACATACTACTGTAAGTTGATTCAATTTAAATTCATTTTACACTTTTGTTGCTACTGTTATCATTGTAATTGCAGCTCCTGATGATGATGGCAAAGTCCATTGAAAGCTAGAGAGAATTAAAAAAAGTATGAAGAGTCCTCTTTGCTTAAATTTTGTCGAAGTACCCAACAAAAGGCGGAAGCTTTAATTTTTCACCTAACTGGTCTAGACGACAATGACCACGTCTCAAGTTATATATATATATATATATATATATATATATATATAACATATATATATATATATATATATATATATATGTCCTTGCTTATTTTTTTCCATGAAGCCGTGAATGGACGTAGGCTATAATCTCTGTACCCAATTTCGTCCAGATCTGCAGGGGTATTAAGTAACTTGAAAAGAAACATTTTTTTCGCGATTCAGTAACAAAGATCGACACTGTCTCATAATATTAGGGGGCTGATAACGAATCTCATTCAATTTCAGATGATCCACTGTCCGTCAAGCACCACCACCAAGGTCACCATCACGCCAGCGAAACATCTGCCGTATCACATCATCACCATCATCACAACGTCACCACAGAGCGAAGTTTTGACGAGCCACGTGTTGAAAACATCGGCGCCAACAAACTTCAAGCTATGTCGGCATCTTCAACGTTGGCAACGAACTTGTCGATAGTGATCACTACTGCGCTAGTTTTACTTTTGAGAACGTAGCTATTCTGGCAAAAGGATGGCCAAATTGGCAACACTGTCAGAGTTTGAAAATGATCGTTTGTGTCTTTTGATCTTAAATGTTTGTCTCTGTGAGACTCGTCAGCAACTGAAAGTATCCGAGACGTACAACAATAATTATTATGTAACGGGATTTTTTCACAATTTGAGGTATCATTGCAGGTCAGCTTGTCACACTCAGCTGTCAAATATGCGGAAGCGACGAAAAACATTTAATGGCGAATTTGGACTTTAATGACACTTGACCTGTGATGCCTCAATAACTTTTTTCTTGATGACTAAGTTTGTAGTGCAGTGAATCTCAGTCTTCTCATATAGTGAAGTATACACGTAAATAAGCGATTAAGTGATTCCAATTTGGAGTGACTCAGTTGATCAAGGACATTTTTTTTACCTCAATTTTTTTTGTAAATACTACCGCATAAGCATCCGTACTCTCATTATGGTAGATCTAAGTTAGATATAGTTGAATAAAATGATTAGTTTTTTCACTATTAGCTTTTATTATCCTTAAAACATTGAATAGTAGGAGATACCCAATTCAAATGTAAGATGTGCCTACGTAATGACGGGCGCTGTCAACTACCTTTGCTCAAAAGTATAATATATGGAGTCAAAAAATGACGTCAAGTAGATTGACTCTATACTTCATACGCCTTCGTTGGAGGTCTCGAAGAAAAGGGACGAGTCGAATCGTTTCAACAGGCGCAATCACCTCGTGATTAGGTAAGTTCACTAAGGTACGACATCTGTATATCAAACTATATAAAGCAAAAAAGAGTCGCAGAACGATACCACCTCAGACCAGTTGGAGTTTGTTATCGATTGCACAGTCGGCAGTGGCCTCCACGACGATGCAGCATCGCGCCGTGCACGCAACATCAACGATTGCCAAATTATTTCGAATTATAACCACATTGCACATCGAACTTTTATCATTTAATGTCCCCGTGTTACCGGGATCAGAAGCTTTTTCATGATAGAACGTCTTCGACTAATACTAAGACTTCCAAACTTTTTTGGCGCCATTTAAAATCACCTTCTACTGTCTTCGGTTCCATCATAGTCAAGTGGGAAAAAGGTGTGTTCACACAACATTAGCCACGCCTCCTTTCCAAGGCATCTGAAATATGACTCCACCCTTTTTTGTCTTGACTAATACTAAAGACGTTACATTTACAAGCCCCAAGTTTCAACCCCTACAAAACAATTTCCAACAATGATCAGGAGGCTCTGAAACGTCCAAATTCGAAACTTTTTGGCGCCATTTAAAATCATCTGTTACTGGCTTCGATTCCATCGTAGTCAAGTGGGAAAAGAGGTGTGTTCACACAAGATTAGCCACGCCTCTTTTCCAAGGCATCTGAAATATGACTCCACCCTTTTTTCCAAGCCTGCAATCAGTCCGCTTTAGCTTATTTCCCTTTATGGTCTTTGGTAGCTGACATGACATTTGACATAACTGACATTTTTTTTACTACTTTTCCGATTTCCAAATTTTCTAATCAGAAAGATTGCAGTTTTTTTCGAACTGCGGACGCTAAACTTTCATTATTTTCGAAAGGTTGGTCAATAATGAATAGCGCTCCATTTTCATTAACCCTAACCTCTCAGCTGTCAAATTGTTTTTTTTCAGGGCTTCCTACAATTTACTACAATCGTGGCGGCAAATTCAAATCTTGCGTTAATTAAGGGGACATTTAGCTGGAACCACTAATAGCTTTTATTATCCTTAAAACATTGAATAGTAGGAGATACCCAATTCAAATGTAAGATGTGCCTACGTAATGACGGGCGCTGTCAACTACCTTTGCTTAAAAGTATAATATATGGAGTCAAAAAATGACGTCAAGTAGATTGACTCTATACTCTAAAGGGACGAGTCGAATCGTTTCAACGGGCGCAATCACATAGTTATTAGGTAAGTTCACTAAGGTACGACCTCTGTATATCAAACTATGTAAAGCAAATCTATCATATTTCTGTATCCTGAGATCAGCAGCTTCTTAAGTCCGTGTTTCTCAGATATATCGGTTTGTCAGTCCGTGTCTGTTTTATACCAGTGCGTGATCATACTGTGTAAATCAACTTGACGAGATATTCATCATAGACGCAGTAACACAAATTAAAGGTTAGGCGAAATTTGCGGTACATTTAAGGATCATATATAAAAATCGTTAAGTCATAATTTACAAAAAAGAGTCGCAGAACGCTTAAGTCGCACGTATTCCTGATATCCAAATATTGCTGAAATATTTCTCCTGTAGCGGTGAATCAGTGACGACACCACCTCAGACCAGTTGGAGTTTGTTATCTATTGCACGGTCGGCAGTGGCCTCCACGACGATGCAGCATCGCGCCGTGCACGCAACATCAACGATTGCCAAATTATTTCGAATTATAACCACATTGTACATCGGACTTTTATCATTTAATGTCCCCGTGTTACCGGGATCAGAAGCTTTTTGATGATAGAACGTCTCTGACTAATACTAAGGCGTTAAACTTCCAAACTTTTTGGCGCCATTTAAAATCACCTGCTTCGGTTCCATCATAGTCAAGTGGGAAAAAAGGTGTGTTCACACAACATTAGCCGCGCCTCCTTTCCAAGGCATCTGAAATATGACTCCACCCTTTTTTGTCTTGACTAATACTAAAGACGTTACATTTACAACCCCCAAGTTTCAACCCCTACAAAAAACAATGATCAGGAGGCTCTAAAACGTCAAAATTCGAAACTTTTTGGCGCCATTTAAAATCATCTGTTACTGGCTTCGATTCCATCGTAGTCAAGTGGGAAAAGAGGTGTGTTCACACAAGATTAACCACGCCTCTTTTCCAAGGCATCTGAGATATGACTCTACCCTTTTTTCCAAGCCTGCAATCAGTCCGCTTTAGCTTCTTTCCCTTTATAGTCTTTGGTAGCTGACATGACATAACTGACGTTTTTTTTCTCCTTTTCCGATTTCCAAATTTTCTAATCAGAAAGATTGCAGGTTTTTTCGAACTGCGGACGCTAAACTTTCATTATTTTCGAAACGTTGGTCAATAATGTATAGCGCTCCATTTTCATTAACCCTAACCTTTCAGCTGTCAAATTGTTTTTTTTTCAGGGCTGCATACAATTTACTACAATCGTGGCGGCAAATTCAAATCTTGCGTTAATTAATGGGACATTTAGCTGGAACCACTAATAGCTTTTATTATCCTTAAAACATTGAATAGTACGAGATACCCAATTCAAATGTAAGATGTGCCTACGTAATGACGGGCGCTGTCAACTACCTTTGCTTAAAAGTATAATATATGGAGTCAAAAAATGACGTCAAGTAGATTGACTCTATACTCTAAAGGGACGAGTCGAATCGTTTCAACGGGCGCAATCGCATGGTGATTAGGTAAGTTCACTAAGGTACGACCTCTGCATATCAAACTATATAAAGCAAATCTATCATATTTCTGTATCCTGAGATCAGCAGCTTCTTAAGTCCGTGTTTCTCGGTTATATCGGTTTGTCAGTCCGTGTCTGTTTTATACCAGTACGTGATCATACTGTGTGAATCAACTTGACGAGATATTCATCATAGACGCAGTAACACAAATTAAAGGTTAGACGAAATGGGCGGTACATTTAAGGATCATAATAAATATCGTTAAGTCATAATTTACAAAAAGAGTTGCAGAACGCTTAAGTCGCACGTATTCCTGATATCCAAATATTGCTGAAATATTTCTCCTGTAGCGGTGAATCAGTGACGACACCACCTCAGACCAGTTGGAGTTTGTTGTCCATTGCACAGTCGGCAGTGGCCTCGACGACGATGCAGCATCGCGCCGTGCACGCAACATCAACGATTGCCAAATTATTTCGAATTATAACCACATTGTACATCGGACTTTATCATTTAATGTCCCCGTGTTACCGGGATCAGAAGCTTTTTAATGATAGAAAGTCTTTGACTAATACTAAGACGTTGAACTTCCAAACTTTTTGGCGCCATTTAAAATCACCTGCTACTGGCTTCGGTTCCATCATAGTCAAGTGGGAAAAAAGGTGTGTTCACACAACATTAGCCACGCCTCCTTTCCAAGGCATCTGAAATATGACTCCACCCTTTTTTGTCTTGACTAATACTAAAGACGTTACATTTACAACCCCTACAAAAAAATTCCAACAATGATCAGGAGGTTCTGAAACGTCAAAATTCGAAACTTTTGGCGCCATTTAAAATCATCTAAAGGGTGGGCCATCTATCGGTTTCGATTTGAACCACGTGTTAATTTGACGCTGACAATACTTATGTCAATCTGATTTGTCATAAAATTTAAAATTCAGTATATTATCTCCGCTGAACGAAATGAATCGATTTACGCTTGAGCAACGTTGGGTAATATTGGAAATTTATTTCCAAAACAAAGACAATTGGGCAGAAATTGCACGAAAATGCCGTTCAAAATTCGGTCGCAACGAAGCACCAACAGCGCCCGGTATACGCAAGTTTATTAATAAAGTGCGTGAAACTGGTTTCATTGTTGATGCTCCAACACGTCAGCGTGCTCGTACAGTGCGTACACCCGAAGGTATCGATGCTGTGGCTGCGAGTGTGCGTGAAAATCCATCAACGTCAACACGTCATCGTTCCCAAGAATTGAACATTTCCCGCACCAGTTTACGACGAATTTTGCGGAAAGATCTCGGTATGACGCCTTACAAAGTTCAATTGGTTCAAGAGTTGAAGCCGCGTGACCATCCACTTCGTTCTGCCTTCGCTACATGGGCCAACGAGCAACTAATCAATGATGTCGATTTTGCGAAAAAAATAATCTTTTCAGACGAAGCTCATTTTCATATTGGTGGCTACGTCAATAAGCAAAATTGCCGTATCTGGGGCTCGGAAAACCCACACGAGGTCTTAGAGAAGCCAATGCATCCCTTGCGAGTGACTGTTTGGTGTGGATTGTGGAGCGGAGGCATCATTGGCCCATATTTCTTTGAAGACGGGGACGGCGCAACCGTTTCTGTCAATGGAAACACCTATCGCACCATGATAACTGATTTTTTTGTTCCTGCTCTTGATGGTATTGATGTGGAGAATGTTTGGTTTCAGCAGGATGGTGCAACTTGTCACACATCGCATGCCACAATCAACTTATTGCGCGAAACCTTCGATGGCCGTTTAATCAGTCGAAATGGTGATGTCAATTGGCCGCCAAGAAGCTGCGATTTGACACCATTGGACTATTTCCTGTGGGGCGCTGTTAAAGACAAGTGTTATGTCGACCATCCAGAGACAATTGACCATTTGAAGGCCAACATTCGTGATGCCATTGACGAGATACGGCCCCAAACACTCGAAAAAGTGCTCGAAAATTGGTCCGATCGAATGGGCTACTGTGAGGCCAGCCGCGGCAGCCATTTGAATGAAGTAATATTTCATTTCTGAGCGGAACAATTGTACTTCAAAACAAAAAAATAAATTTGGCAATATCTCAAACCGTTTTTGTTTTATTTTATTTTTAAATCGAAACTTTTAAATGGCCCACCCAATATTACTGGCTTCGATTCCATCGTAGTCAAGTGGGAAAAGAGGTGTGTTCACACAAGATTAGCCACGCCCCTTTTCCAAGGCATCTGAAATATGACTCCACCCTCTTTTCCAAGCCTGCAATCAGTCCGCTTTAGCTTCTTTCCCTTTCTGGTCTTTGGTAGCTGACATGACATTTGACATAAGACATTTTTTTTTCTCCTTTTCCGATTTCCAAATTTTCTAATTAGAAAGATTGCAGGTTTTTTCGAACTGCGGACGCTAAACTTTCATTATTTTTGAAATGTTGGTCAATAAAGAATTGTATCGGATAGCGCTCCATTTTCATTAACCCTAACCTCTCAGCTGTCAAATTGTTTTTTTTTTTTCAGGGTTGCCTACAATTTACTACAATCGTGGCGGCAAATTCAAATCGTGCGTTGATTAAAGTGACATTTAGATGGAACCACCACGTTGCCTAGCAGCCCGAGTGACGAGACGCAGCTGATATTTGAATTTTTTTGTATACGAAATTTGATAGGTGGAATAAAACACTGATTATGAATGATACCTGATAGCATTTTAATACAATAATCAATCCATCCAAAAAAATGTTTGTTAATAAATACAAATTGTTTATTGTTGAACAGTTTAGTAATTTTAAATGTCTTTTCTTTTATTACAAGTGCAACTATCGTGTAATACTTTTAGTTCAATATTCACTATATAAAAATAACCGATACTATTATCAGCCACTACCAAAACGGCTAAGTATACAATACTAGAAATAAACTGAAAATCAATTTAAAAAATCACAGCAGTCGATAATCTTTCTGTTACTTTGTTAGCCAGATTTCGTAGTAGAAGGTGAAGCTCTAGATAAAGATCTTGATAATACCGAACTTGAACCTTCCAAATTTATAACCAATATTGTACATCGATTTGCGTTAGTACCACAATTTTATATCTACAGAGATCATTCCAATAGCGGCACAATACATTGAACCATATACATCTTTCATACAGGGGGTTTGAAAAATAGACGGAGATATTTTAGAGGGTTAAAAAATATGAAAAAAGTTTTTGTCCTGAATTTGCCACTTGTATTTTTTCTTATCTCACTTCGTTTTCGAAAAAAATAAAACCGTTTTTTGCATGTTACTGGACAAAATTGGTTTATTAATTTTTGCTAAAAAAACAAAAATAAAAAATAGCCTCTTAATGCAGCAAATACTATTGCCAATTTTCAATAATATTTTTTAAGATATCAATATAAAAACATGTTTATAGAAAGTTTTTTTCATATTTTTTAACAATCTTCAAATATCTTCGTCTATTTTTCGAACACCCTGTATAGGTAGAGAAACGAGTTTATGAAAGACAGAAATATGAAATCAAACCGTACAACATCAGAAAATATTAACAATGCAGCATGAACAAATCATTGATAACGCCGTTAAAAATATTTTATATTACGAATGAGTACGACGCCCAAGCAAAGTTTAGGCATTTTTTAGTATGAAATATATATGTCAAAAATTCAATGAATTCTCTTCTCACCTATCCAAAAAATAAAATTAGAAATTTTCCGATTCGATTTTTTTTTCAATAAAAGATCAAGTCGAAAAATGTTTGTATTCGCCTCGTCTAAATGTTTCAAAGGTAGAACGAAAAAATAATTACATTAAAAAGTTTTTGAATGATTTTTGTCTTGGTAAGTTTTGCTTGGGGTTTGTAAGACTTTTCAAAATCTATGTAAATTTGATAGTAATGTTGATATTGCTCTCAGTTATTTGAAGAACCTCAGTAGTCAATACAGATGATGCAGATAGACTGTATGTACATATCACATGAAAAACACAAAATTCATCACAAGATTTTTTAAAAATCCTGTCCACTTGGATGAATCATACACGTTAAACGCATTTTAGAACAAGCGGAAAAAGTACGGCGGAACTATACTCAATAGAAGTGAGATAAACTCCAGCTTGCTTGTTCGTACATTTCGAAAAAATACTAGCATTTTTGACACTTTCAAAATTACATCTATAACTACATCGTTTTTAAAAAACACATTTTGGGGCTACAAAAAGTTATAAAAACCACTCGAAACCTGCATCTATTAACAACACATATACAAGGCGATTCAAAAAATCCTTGCCAGAGCAAACCTTGAAGAATTACTCCCTAGAAATAAAGATAAAAAAATGACCCTTTCCGAGATACAGAATGAGATATTTTTCAAAATGTCAGTTGGAAAAATGTTTTTCTGTTTTTTGTTCTATAGCCAGATTTGTTTGCGTATGTTATTATTTATTAACGAATATTCTACTTGAACGATCTTAGCGCCATTAATTAAACCATAGCAGTACACAAAATTTATGAAAAAAGTTGAAGTGCTTGCTTTTGCTACTCGCTCACAGATGGCGCTAGGATCTTCGATCCTTTTTTGGCACCTCTCAAACCTAAAGCTTTTTATAGTATTGAAACATTTCTAGTCAACGACTTCAGTGACATATTGATTACATTTTTCTTTTTTCATATTTGTATCTTTTGAATGTGTCTGTTTTATTTAGTACTGATGCTGAGTGTGTAGGTACTTGTAAATATTATTATTATACTCATTCAAATTGCTTGAATTTGTGCTTTTTTGCTTAGTAAAATCGTTCTGTCATTTCTCTGCTCTACCGGTTGGCCGGTATTTTTCGAATCACCCCGTACACCCCCGCTATAAGTCACAACATCTCGGCACGTACAACGATTTATCACTCATCTCACAGGTTGTTCTGCAAGAAAGATAGCAGCGTCGTTTCGTAATGTTTGCTAGCGTCCAGATGCCTTAACGAATGCCGTTCGTTCGGGTATATCTGCAGTTGGTACGGTTTGCCAGCCTTGATCAGAGCGTTGATCAATTGGCTGGTGTGGTAGAAATGAACGTTTTCGTCGATCAGGCCGTGGATTATCAGCAATCGGTTCTCCCTGAAAAAGCGGACGCTGTAGCGATACGGCAGAGGCATGCGATCCAAATATCGCTTATTAGTTCAACTTTATTTTATACTTAATCAAATTGAAAAAAACACGCGGTAAAGTAGAAAAGGTGAAAGGTGTAGGAAACGAGATTTTTAGCAAAGTGGCGATTTATTTCTCAACATAGTCTACTACTTGAAACTAGCTTTCGTTTCCGATATCGTATCGTGTATCGATTCGTATCACTTTAGGAAGTATCGATACTTTAAGACATCGCAATAAAAATATCGATACCACAAGTATCGAAACTTTGGAATTCGATAAAGGAAAAAAAATAATGTCTCAAAACAGCGAAACTTTTGCTAGCGTAATTTTTTGGTATATAAAAATTCTGAAACTGATTTGTAACAGAGAAAAAAAGAACTTACTCTTCTGGAAATTTGTTGATGTAATTCAGAACAGAACCTTCAAAGTAACCTTCAGGATTGTGTTCAGGCAAGTCCATGTATCTTTCCGTATACCCGGTATCATAAAGGTTCCAATTCGTTACCGGAGCACCAGCTATCGATATTTTGAAGACATCCGGAAAATGGATCAAGCCCATCAAACTAAGATAGCCACCTACAAAGTATCACGACTGATAAAGCTTTTTAGTCAATTAAAACCGAGTTCAAAAATATTAATTTTGCGTCTCATTGGAAAATCATTAAGCAAAAAAGTTTTCGCACAATGTTATTCCCCAAAATCATACGTACATCTGGTTTAAAAACCTGTGCTTTAGAAAAACATTTTAATGTAAAAATTAGATTGGTATATATCATTAAATATACAGGGTGTCCCAGAAGTCGACGTCAAGCCGAAACCGGGTGATAGGCAAAGTCATAACAGCTATCAGAAAAATATTTAAAAAAATTGTATGTATGTGTTTTGAAAATTATAGGTCTTTGAAAAAGATATAGAAATTTCACACCCTACGGCAGTCTGTCAACTCCTGTTACTACAAATATTAACTTTTTTTGGATTTTATTTTTACAATGTGATGATGAATAGTGCATCTTCAAACTGGTGTCCCAACCTTACTGCCAACTTTTCTCGTTCAGGAAAAATTGCCACTTATTTCCCAACCAAGTATTCCAAAGTAAAACTTTGCTCAACTTAACTGGCTGTACTGGAAAAAAATGTACTACGTGAGTTTGGCAAGTAACCTTAAAAGTTGGCGCATTTAATAACGATTCCAAAATGGTATAACACTTAGAAGATTACTCGTTAACTTATGCACAATTTTTATTTGAAAAAAAAAACTAATGAAAATTTTTCAAAATTTCCTAATTAAACAGCGATTATGAAAACGCACAAGGACCCTTAAGGATAACTGTTTGCACAACAGTGGGCGTCAAAATGCTGCTGATGATGATTTACCTTTACAGCAAATGCTCAAACTGTTTTCCTTCAGCCGCAATTAACGCTCGACATCTTCTTAAAAAAGATCGGGTTATTAAACGAGCGAATCCACGGTTATTAACAAACTCAGCTGCTTCCAATAGTCTTTGCCGTAGCTCAGCCACATTTTGAATCGGCTTGAAATACACTTTTTCTTTTACAGATCCCCATCCATACCACGTACAGCGTGTTCAAGCTCTTCTGCCCCGGGATTATGAGCCCCGAGTTGCTTTTTATCGCACAATGTTAGAAAGACACAGGGAAGATCCACGGTTCTTTGAAAAATTTTATGGTCGGATGAGACCACATTTAAGAAAGATGGGTACATGAACCTGCATAACTTACACGAGTGGCACGTAGCAAACCCACATTTGATGAGAGAAGATAAATCTCAATATCGCTTCAAGATAAACCATTGGACAGGAATTTTAAATGGTAAAATAATCGGTCCGTTTGAGTTCCCACAGACTTTGACTGCTGTGGTTTATTTAGGTTTTTTGCAAAATCATTTAGAAAATTTATTGGAGGACGTGCCACTGAGTATTTACAGGGACATGTGGTTTCAGCATGATGGCTGCCCAGCGCACTATGCACTCTCAGTGAGAGAGTATCTCGATCAAAACTTTCCAGGCAGATGGATAGGGCGGTCTGGTACAATACCGTGGCCAGCCCGGTCACCAGATTTGAATCCGTTAGATTTTTTTTACTGGGGAACTGTAAAAGAAAAAGTGTATTTCAAGCCGATTCAAAATGTAGCTGAGCTACGGCAAAGACTATTGGAAGCAGCTGA